TATTTGTAAGGCAGTTTCTGATTAGTACCTTTTTAATTCAAAAATTAATGTTTACTCTTTCATTATCGTATTCAGGAATATTTCATACTGCCTCTAATTTCATTTAATAGCTCGTTGCTTGTCGAGTGGCATCACTCCTTCTTGCCGGTGCGAACCAACGGGAACACATTTGTGTCTCTTATACCGTGGTTCGTGACATCTTCCGTCGTTACATGCCTAAGGTGATTTATAATACCTTCAAATACTCCACTTATGCCATAAATTATATGCCCATGTTTTCCACTTATTGATAATTTTTTATTCTCCGTAATTGTTGAATAATTTTATTAGAACTTATTTGCAAGTTTTGATTTGGATTATTCTTAATTTCGATAAAGGGCGATATTTTTATAGATCGATTTTTATAGGATGATCGGCTTGTCATTACATTACTTAACAGCTTAGCATCCTCACTTTTTTCCTTCGCTAAATTTTTTTAGAATACCATCTGATGAGACTGTGGAGAGGTTGTTTGAGTGTTGATCAGTAGGAAGGGTATTTACAGCATTGCATGCAATAAAGTTCTATTCTTTATTAATAATAAGCACTTATGATTATGCTGTGCTGTAGTACAAAATCCGCATTACTATATATTTTCATATTTCGCTATTTCGCTATTTCTAGCCAAACTCTTATTGGATCAATAGAACAGAACTTCTACAATAACATTTTTTATACATGATTAACTGACTAAGATAAGATATGTTATGACCTATTCCACTATGTGTTTGTCAGTGATTAGAATTCATATACTCTGGCCATGGGCTATTTGCTTGATCACCCTAAATATTAAGTTAACTTTTAGCTCAGTAAAAAATGTAATCTGGGGTTCATACATTGGTTCCATGAGATTCATCTTGGCCAGATCTCGTCTAGATTTACTTGCAAGTTTAGGCTGGGGCCAGAAAGCATGCTGAAATGTTTTTCTTTTAAAAGTTGGCTTTCGGGATCATATCTATCAGATGCATTCTTTCTATTTTGTTTAGGTTGATACAGGAACTGGTAGTTGAATTTTACCACAATGACTATGGACATAGCCTTGCTTTCCCCAAAGGTACTCTTATCTACGATGGACTCCACATAAGTCTTATCAACAACTTCGCGTGACTCGAACCATAGCACTGCAGCGTATGATCTTGAAACGTTACCTAGAACGCTACATTTGCACGAGTGCTCTTGAGTCGCAGGGCATATGTGAATTTCAAGGCAAGCCAGGCATTTTCTGGTCTCACGTTATTTGATGTTGGCATTTTCGATGAAGCAAGGTTGTATTTGTTATAGCAATCAACTAAGTTATTTATTTTCCGTTTATAAGTATCTTTTCGAGACTGAGAATGTTAAGATCACCTTGAAGAGGTTGAAACTGCAATCCATTCTGGATGAATTTACTTTGGGGTAATGCAGGGCTATGTAAACTTTGATAGAAGCGTCATGTCTACTCATATAATTGTGGGATAATTCGACTACCAGTTACCTTATCACCTTAAATCAACTATGATGAATTCATCTCGAATGCTGAACTTTTGTCTGCAATATAATGGATATAATCGTGACAGAAGAGTACCCTTTTTTCAACAATTATGGTTAAAAATTTAAGAACCTTCTGATCCAATGAATTTGAGCTAGGTATACAATGATTTGGTACATTCGGAGCATATATATCCTGCTCTATTACAAAATATTACATGAATTTGAATAAACAGGCTCAATGTTATTATACATTCCAAATCGCTATATTCACTATCACTTTTCCATTATTATCAGTAATTTTCGCATTAGAACAGCTTCGATTTCATCCGATTTAAGTTATTTAAGCGCTGATAATAAAGTTTTTTTAATATGATCTAATGAGTTTGCCTCTGAACACCAGTAAATTTCTCTTAGTTTTTTCTCATCCAATCTCGATTGCTGTTTTAACCTCGCCTATGTCCTATCAAGGACCGATAGTAATTAAAAGCTTTGTATTGCGTGCAAAGCCGAAGGCGCCAGTGGACCACAGGATAGATGCAACTCTGGATAAGAAAACCTTTTTGAATATAGAGCTAAGTGAAATTAGCTTTCAAATCCCAAATTTAATTTTTGGATAAATTCCAGTGCCGGTTCTTGGATCATCTCAAGCGAACTAAGTTGACTAATTTTTTATTCAAAATCGCGTGAAGACATTCGCAATTCCCAGTCGCCTTGAGTTGATATAAATCACACTAAATTTCTGTACTAGATTTGTAGAAGTTTACACTTGCATTTCATAATTTCATTTTTGGGACTTAAAGGCTTATCGTCCTTTGAGTTTGAACATTTTAAAATATAAAAACATACTCGTGTTTTCTGTTTATTCTTGTAAAAATAATAAATTAACCTGATAAAAAGTTTCAAAATGCATAATGAAATCTTAAATCATCTATATTAGAAAAATCACTTAAATGACTTTTTCTTCAGCTTAGTTTTTTGTTAGAAGTTTTATAAGAACTCGCTTTTAGATTATCAACACGTTTGATCATTAAAATGACATTTCAATCAGCTAATATTTAGTAATTATCCCCATACTCACCTTGATTTTTGATTTTTTTTATCCGCTGCCGAAGTTGGCAAAAGTGAAGACTTCTTTAGCATTTGCCCGCCGACTCAAGTTCATCCTTTTCACAAAACGAAGTGAGAGTGTGTCTGCCAACCTTCTACTTACTCAAGTGGCTAGTTGTCCTGAACTGCAGGCGCATTATAATCTTGGTCGTGACCGCTGGAGCGAGCTTTTCGGCAAGAATCCTAGTCAAGCCATTCGCCTTTTTCTCAACCTTGTTGATACTATCATTGCTGCCTTCCTTCCGCGACTTAAGAGGGAGATACAGCAACCCGATTCATCACAGTCTCGATTTATCAGTTAGTGTGGTAGCCAAAAACATTTAATTTCTTTTATTAAGTTTTTTCAACTTATTCTTATTTGCTACTTGTGGCCAAATATGGTCTTATTGTCATATGCTATTTGTGCTCCCTTGCCCTTAATATATTGTGATAGGTGCAATCCTAATTTGAATCGATGTTAAAGAATAAAAAAACAAATTAGTTTACTATTATCCATCTTAATGATTAATAACTTTAGTCTTGCCTTCCTAAAGTTACTATCATTCAAAGTAAACTGCAATTTTGAATTTAACTGGTTATTTTCAGCAACCACACGGGAATCCAACCCCGTTAGTGCAGAGTTTATTTACAACGTCACACTGGCACCCGTATTAGTATGTCACAGGCCAGGCGTAAATTTAAAGACAAGACAAGTCCTTCCTATATATAATTTTATAATTAAATTGTCTCTTTAGCATACAGGCATTTGACATTAATATCGACAGCATTACTTGGCGAAAAAAACTTTCGGAAACCAAGTCTAATGAAATGCAGTTGCATCATGAAGCCTAGTCCTATAATTGTGGGAAAATTCACTACTCGTCCTTCATTATCCTAGAGGCCTAGATTAATTAAAGTTTTTTATTAGATACGAACTTCTTTTGGCTCCTGTTTCTTTTTAATTAATATTTCCAATCTGAGTACAATATGCTTCGCTGGTCTACAGGTTCAACAATGCACGCTATTACAATCCTCCCTCTCCACCTCTTAGAATAAACAAATTGAATCTTTGAAATCGACTTAAAAGTAATATTTTCTTAGATCGTAGATCTTAAGAACGAGATCGTGTCACATTTGTTTAGTCACAATCTCCTTTAGCTGTATGTTGTTGGCTTGACCTCATTTTTACAACTATTGAAGCGGCAGACCCTATTGAACATACCTAGCCCTGCATCCTCTAGCGCAGAATTCATGATAATTTCTAATTTAGGACTACTGAAAGGGTAGATTCTGACGTTTCACTGGCATCATCAGCGTGACTAACCATCCCACAGTTAGGTCCATCAAACTGACAAGTGAAAACAATCATCTTAATTAATTTATGTCCAAATTTTATGGCGTATCCCCCGCACTGTCCTAACTCTAAAAGCTGCACCCTTATTCATAAATCATAGTTCATATTGCTAATTCGTTTCCTTTGCTCCACTATCGCACTCTATTTCATACTAATCGTGTTTAAAAGAAAGGAGTGGACGACTTTTAAATTTTATTTAACGATAGTGCTGAATAAGTCAAATTTTAAATGAATTTGGAGGCTAACAGACAATTAACAGTCTTAGATATAGAGGTCATCTACTCCTAGAGGATGAACGAAAGAAAGATAACGGCATCTGAAACTGGCGGTGATGGTGATAACGATTCACTGAAGTGACAATCTTATTTGATATCGAAGCAAACATAGAA